TGGGTGGACCCCATACAGTTGCTAGGAGGAAAACCAGTCAGTCTGTGTGACATCAACGAGGAGAGTGTGTGTCACAGAGGGAGTCTTCAGTATATTCAGCTGTCATTCCCATTCCCCATCCCCGGGAAGGAAGCCAGGGGCACTTTACCACCAAGCTACATTCCCCAGCCCTCTTATATTGTTTGTGAGAGGTTCTCACTAAGGTGCTGAGGGTCTCGCCAGGTTGCTGAGGCTGGCCTCAAACTTTTGATTCTTCTATCTCAGTTGCTAGAATTACAGGAGGGTGCCACCAGGCCCCCAGCCCCGTTATCCCCTCCTCCCTGGCTCTGACCCTGCCGAAGTCTGGAAGAGGCTGTTCAGATGTTGTAGTTGCCAAGTCTCACCAGCAGGAGGCCCCTGCCTCCAGTTGCCATCAGTTCTTAGGCTGGAGCCCAGGGAGAGGGAATGCAGTTTGGGGATGGGGCAGAGGGGAGTTTATAAGGACCAAGAGAATGCCAGGTTTATACCGCCCTCTGCAAGAAGTCGCATCGGGAGATCATTTGAAAAGTCCCTGCACCTCCCTCTCTGCCCATGGCAGGGTTAGAAAGGGCAAGTGCGGGGGTGGGGGGGTGGGGGGGTTGTGTAGCAGAGGGAGGCAGGAGGGAGTGGCAGGCAGGAGGGAGTGGCAGGCGGGAGGCTTGCTTGCAGCTGGCAATGCACAGTGTTTCTGATTCTGAGGTCTCTTCAGGGTTAGCTAGGATGGGCCCAGCCTCCCTACCGTGCATAGTCACCTCCTGAACGTGGGATTTCCAGTTTGGCACCTTTCCCAGGGCTGTCTATTGGGCCATTTGCCCTTTCACGTAAGCCCATTTAGAACTCCATTTGATAAGGAAACTCATTAGCAGTTACATGACTGGCCACTGCTCTGAAGTCAGATGCAGTGAACTGGACAAGAAAGGGTGAACAGGACAGGTCGGTTCCTGCCCTCCACGCACAGACAGTCTAGTTGCCCAACTGACATGTCCTTTCAACAGCCCCGGGCACACTTAGGAAACACCTGGCTCTGGGGAGTGGGAAACCGGATAAGAGGACACCGTCCCTCTTGGGGAACCTCTGTCCAAGGCAAGACAGCCAAGAAGATTGGGTGGAGGTGATAGCACGTGAGTCATTCTATACACCTATCTCAGAAGCAATCATACTGCACATTTTAAAGAGTAAAACGGCAGGAGTGTTCTGAGGACAAGGAGAGCACCTGTAGCCTCCGACACACACCCTGAAACATCTCCCATTTCGTTTCTGAGACTTTCATTTCCTTCCATGGGAAAATTAAATATTTCACTTCAAAAGAGACAAGGCTTAGAAAACTGACTTAAACTCTGATCAGATTCCTGACAGAAGCAAGAAAATTCAGGAATAAACATGAGGCATCCCATTGTAGAGAGGAGGACACAGGCCCGTGCAGTTCAGCCATTCTTGGGTTCACAGGGCAAACATGCTGGTCCCTCTTCTATGTCCCTGTGTGCCCGCCCAGGGCACCGTCATAGGTGTACGGAGCCTTCTGCTGCCTCCTGGGATCCCAGCAAGGCTGACTTTCAGGAAGTCAGTGGGGAAAGGCTGAGGAAGACCAGAGAGGCCACCTGGCTGTGGGGCACCAGGAACCCCCCACACACTGGGCAGGTGCACAGCTGCAACCAGCTGCTCTGCAGAGTCTGCTGGGAGCAACCCCCTGCTTACGACGCTGAGCCAGGGCGTTTATCCGGCGCCTCGAGGTGGCTGTGTGAGGGAAAGGGCATGATTTATACCTGACCTATGACTCAGAAGTAGGAAGGGGAAGCCACTTCTTCCCCGCCCACCCCACAAGACAGCGGCTGACAGGTGCACCTGAGCATCCCTGTGACAGACAGGCGTCCTGCATGAGCTCCTCCTCCTAACAAAGCCACCTTTCCCTCACTAGCCCTGGCCTCTTTGGGAAGGACGGCAGGAAAGGCCAGGCGAGACTGGGGCGAATTTCCCAAAAACCGTCCACTGGGTCGCAGGGCTGGACCACTGGCATGTGAAGTCGCATCTTGCGGTCTTCCAAGAGATTTCTCCTGGGATCTTCACACTCACCTTGCTTCTCTCTGGTAAAAACCAGATGGCAAGGGGGGACGAAGTCAGGTCATCCGTCCAGGGGAACGCTTGAGTGGGAGCACCTCCACGGGATGCTGGCCTTTTAGCCGGCCAAGAAAACCTCTGCTCTTTCCCCTCTAGCTTTCACATAGGAGGGAGACATATGACCCTTGACTTTCTGAGTTTGGCTCACTTCACTTGACATAGTGCTCTCAAGTTCCATCCATTGTCCTGGAAATGGCATGATTTCATTCTTCTTCATGGCCGAATCTTTATTCAGAGCTTTCTCCATTGTGTGTAGAGACCACGTTTCCTTTTCCACTCATCCATTTTCGGACACCTAGGCTGGCTCCATAGCTTGGCTATTAGGAATTGTGCTGTGATAAAGGAAACCAAACTAGGACAGAGACCGATAGAGCAGAGGAAGGGGACAAGGCGGAGGAGGAGGGGAAGTTCTGGGAAACAAAATTGACCCCATGATGCTGCGTCCGTGGACAAATACAGCACAATGTAAGAAAGGAGATCCGTGGAAGGAAGGAAGCAGGGGGGGGAGGGGAGGGAGGGGGAGGCCCTGGGGAATGAGACTGAGCAAATTAGCTATGTGCCTGCAGAGATATGTCACAGTGACACCCATTATTATATATAATTACAATTATGTATACAATGTACCCATAAAAGTCATAAAAAGAAAGAAAGCCTTTGTAAAAGGATGCTTTTCTACAGGCAGTGGTAGGCTCTGGGTCCTAACCCAACACTGCCTCCTCCTCTGGGGGACCTTGACTCCCTACCTCACACCCAACAGCTTTGCAACCCTCAGGCCAGTTCCCAGTTGCTTACAGACTCCAACACCCAGTCTTCCTTTCTGTGCTCATGTTTCTTCTGGCTCCTCGGTTACCCTTAAGTTCACCTGCAGTGAGACCCATACCATCTCCCCGTTCTTATCTTATTTGTCCTGGGGGGCCGGGGAGAGCCGACAGTGAATATGACTTCTGTTTGACCTTGGGATAGGTCTTTGCATTTGGTGGTCAGAAGTTCTGATGTTCAGGGAAATCTACTTGCAATGAAATCTGGCATCACACCTAGAAGGAAGGTGACCAAAAGTGGGTGACCAACCTGGAGGCCTCATTCCACCGGCAGGAAGATGCCCAGTGCTCTGCACGGCCCATCACCACCTCCAGCCTGGGAAGCAGTGATGCTCCCATGACCTGTTGGGGATTCCTTACGGCCTACAAACTGGGAGTAGCCAGAGTACATAAGATGTGAATGACAGAATACAGCAGAGTGCCGGCAGGGTCCTGCAGCCATTCCCAACAGGGTAGAGAACAAGACTCACTGAGATCATCGCAGCTCACGGTGGAGGAAAGACGTGAAGACCTGAAGTCAGGGTGTTGCTTATGGTCGTCCAGTCACTGCACATGGAAGAGCAGGGACGGCACACCAGGACCAGAGAGGTGGTAAACTGGAGACCCAGAAGTCAGGGCTCCTGATTAAGGGACTAGGCCTGGGAGGGAGCATTTTTGCTTCATCCCTCCAGCCCTGGTGAGTCCTCAGCCAGGGTGACAGCAATGGTTTGTGCTACCACAGCTTTTGCTCTGTGCGAAACTGGGTTGATGGTCTAAACTGAACAGCAGTTCAACCACTGGAGCTCTCAAAGGGTCCACAGCCCAGCCCTTGGACTGGGGCTGACTTATCTATCATCTCACCAGGTGAATGTATTCTGACTTAGGTGTAACTCCCTCCCAACACATGGCAGGACAATGGTAACAAGGAGAGAGCTTGCTTTGTAAGCCTTGTTTAAGAATATGCTTTACAGGAGTGCTCCTGTCCTGGAGCTCAGCTGCTGTTTCCTACCAAGGCAGAGACAAAGACCAATCCGCTTTGCTTTGTTTCCACAGCTCAAGAGCCTGGCCCAGAGCTGTACCTCAGCACAGACTGCTGGATGGAGGAAGATTTTTTGCAAGCCATGGACACTCACCAGGTAGGTGAAAATGCACTGAGGGGAACTGCTATCCCAGAACTCACCAGCCACCCAGCCTCTCTCTGCACTGAGGTCTCACTGCTGCCGGCTCGGCTGATCTCATTTCTGGGCACTCACATCATAGCAGCAGAATGTGAACTATGTAGACAATAAGTAAGGCCCAGATTGCTCTCAGATACATGGCATCCCAGGGACAGGACATCAGGTTGTTCACTGAGTCACTCAGGTATTTTTGGCATCAATGTGGGTGTACTCCAAAAAGAACAGAAGAGCAGGAAATAAACAAGTCCAAAAAGTAACGTGCAGTGAATCCAAGAAGGTTGTTTAAATTTTTCTTCACTGAGTTGGCCCAAAATTGATGAGCTTCAATATCCTTCCCTGAGGCTCTCACTTAGCACTGGCTGGAACTTGGGCAGGACAAAACTTGGACTGGGATTGGGCATTTGTCATTGGCCAGATGCTTCTCACCATGACCATGGTGAAGCCATTCCCTTCAAAACCACCTTGGGCTGTGGACACAGAGATCACCCCAACTAGACTTGGGAAGGTGGGCGGCACAGAGAGTAAGAAACTGGGACCCCAGTTCTGATGTGGTCGACGCCAAAGCCTGGGCTCTTACCCGCAGCTCTTCATGAAGTGCACCTGATGGACCTAAATGGCTGGAAGGAGGGGGTCTGGGAGAGCCATCAAAGCTACACCGGACAGTGGACAGCATTGGGTGGGAAAGCTCAGAGTGGCCTCCAGGAAAGGTGGCGTCCGGTGATATCACAGCAGCCCCTTCCCCACCCTACACTCTCCTGGGGCCCAAAGGCCACCCGAGGCTCCCTGGAGCAGCAGGACTCACTCCACACCCCACTGCCATCACTCTGCTGCGGCACCGCCCCTGGCTGCCTGTAGAGGGCGCCCTCTGCCCCCGGAGACCCCGAGCACTCACCCCGGGACCGCGCTGCTGAGCCTGGATCCGGGTCGGACGTGGTCCCTGCTTCAGCTGGCCGCAGCGGTGAAGGGGAGCGTTCGCCCTCGTTGTCGCCCGGCGTCTGGGAACCAAGGCTATACAGCTGCGATCCGAACCTCCCAACAGCCTCTGGGTCACAGGCTGTGTCGTGGGGACTTCTGGGGAAGGACCCGGAGAGCTGGGGAGGAAGAAAGGCTGAGGGGGGCATTTGCATACCCCGCCCTGTCCACTGCTGAGAGACCCTCCGCAGGTGGCTTCCCCGACTGAGCCCGGGTTGTGGGCAGGGGAGCAGAGAGGAAGGGGACTGCGGAGGAGGGGCTGAAGCCTCCTTTAGCTGGGACCTAGGTGTGGTCAGGGACCTGGGGCACTCTGAGAGACAGGGAGGAGTGGGGGCTTTGGAGAGGAAGCCCTGGCTCCATCTTAGCTGACATATTTACACATGGAAGGTCCACAGGGGCATGATCTAAGAGGGTGTTTTAATTCCCCCTGGGTTGCTAACTGTGCAGGTTGGCCATTCCCAGAGCAGGGGATCATTTACTTGTTGACCCCCAATGGCGTGGAGGGTCGTTTTTTTTCTGCTGCCTTCTGCCTTTGAACACGGTACTACATTGGTTTGCCTGTGGATAGGGCCTAATAACTGATGTAGTAGTGCTGGTTGGGATCAAGGAGTGCAAAAGGGACTCTTAATCCATGTAGGAAAGTGGACATTAAACCTGGATTTGAATCTTGGCCACTCCTGGGTGCCTCATATGTCTCCTTCCAACCTATCCTTAAGTCTTTTTTTATTTACCTCAGTCTGACCCAGTTGATCTGCTGGCTCCTCTGCAAGGATGTATGAAAAGAAACCTGCTTGTCCTGCCTGCTGATCTTTACGTGCAGTGTGAGAACACACAGCCTTCCAGCATGGAACCCTGCAGACCTAGGCCACTGTTCTCATGGTGTGACCCAGGCTGGAGGCCGTACGTGTCCTCTGAGCTTCACCCAGTCAAATACAATTCAAACACCTCCCAGAAGAAGGGGAGATTCCTCATCCTCTTTGAAACTTCCCCCTACGCACAGGATCCTGTAGAGTGCTTTGCATACCATAGGTGCTCAATAATTGGATTTTCTGCCCTGTTTGCCACAAAGACCCAAATGCCAGTGGTCATTTCCAATGACATTTAAAGAGTCTGTGAATCAGACTAACCACATCTTTAAATCCTGACCTGATTTAGCTCAGATCTGGTTTCACAACTTCAGTTGCAGACTGCCAGTCAAACCAGGATCTCTGGACTCCTTCCATGTACCTGGCACAGAGATGGGTGCTGGGAATATAAAAATGAATACAACAAAGGCCCCACTCTCGAGGTTCTCAACATAGCGACAGGTGAGCCAGTCGCCAGGAGATGGTGTGAGAGATGGAGCAGGTGCTAGGAAGCTTAATGGGAGATGCCCCGGGGGAATCTGAAAGGTCCAGCAGTTCCACCTACAGGTGGAATCTGATCTGGGTTCTGATAGACCAGAGGGGGTTGCAGAGCCAGAGTGGGTTGCTCAAGTGGAGAAGCGCAGCACCCTAAATGCCATGATACCTTGAAATGCCCCAGGAAATGCCATTTGTGTGACCCTACCTCAACAACCACCTGGGGGCAATAAGAACACCCTGGCTTTGGATGAATATGTTATTTACATGTTCATGAAAAAAAAAAAGAAATCTTCTTGTAAAACATAAAGTGCTTGACAACCATCTGGAGCCCTCCTCCTCCACCCAGGCCCCCAGGGCCTTGGGCTGCCTTCCTCTGCCTCTGCCTCCCCTGTCTGGCTTCCCTTCCAAACCACCCTGGTCTCTCTCACCAATATGTGCTGGAAAGGGTGAAATGTCACAGCGCTGGGCCTCCTCTGCCCAGAGCAACGCTGAGCACCAGCTGTGGGCTGCTCAGCACGAGCTCCTCTGCAGGGGACCTGGTCCTCTTCCTGCTGCTCACACACGTGGGCGGCTCCAAGACCGTGGTGTTTCCCCTGAGCCCCGGTGAGCTCATAGCTAACAGTGTCTGCAAATAGAACGTTCCACGGTGGCCTTCATGTTTAAGTGGGAGGCTCTAGATGACACTTACAAGGAGAAAGACGCAGTCATCAACTCTGACTGGTGCGCATGACTGAAGGCCCAGTGTGGAGGCCCCACTTCCACCCTGGCCCTGCCTTTACTCATCCTCCGCCCCTTCTTTCCTCTGAGCCTTCAGGTTTCCCATCTATGAGCAGAGCTGGAGGATTTCCATCCTATTCATGGGACCAGAAAGAATTAAAATCAAGTGAGATAACATGAGTAAAAGTGCTTTGAACTCTAAATCTTGTGGGGAAAAAAAAGCATGCATTTTTGTTATTGTAGAAAATACTGAGGTCCTGGTGTTGGCATTGTGCTGGGTAGCATTTTACTGCAATTCAAGAATAAAATATCAACAGGAGAAAAAGTTAAAATCTAGACACCCAGTGGGGATGGGGGATGGCTTGGTGATAGATCACTTGCCTGGCATGTGCAAGACCCTGGGTTCAACCCTCAACTGCAAGAGAAAATATCATCAATCTCTGCTATGTTTGTCCACTGGACAATTTTAGAACAGAGAAGGAAAGAATGGGACCTTTAATATCATTCCGAATAAAAGTTAGGCACTTTCTGCCAGTTCCATCTGGCACCTAGAGCCCTGGCTGGCACATAGTAGGTGCTCAGAGAACATTTGTTTTTACTGTTCAAGAGTGTTCTGGCCTTGAAGGACTGCTGTGTTGAAGGACTGTGTAGGAATGTTCCCCACCAGGCCACCCTGGGACAGCAGGCCAGAGGTGACTGATCCAGGTAGGGACCTGGATGGATTCCCACCACCCCCAGGTTCCCCAGCCTGGTACTTCCACATCATTCTACAATTTGCCCCTGACTTCAAAATGGCCACAGGAGGTGATGGCTCAGGATGAAGTGAATCCAGATGACCTCAGTGGAAAGCAAATTAAGCAAGACACAGAAAGGTATAACGTAGTTTCACAAGTTTTATTCAGCCATAAAGAAGAATAAAACTGTGTCTTTTGCAGGAAAATGGGTAGAACTTGAGAACAATACATTAAGTAAAATAAGCCAAACTCAGAAGGTCAAGGGTTGTATGTTTTCTATCCTATGTGGAAACTAGAGAGGGAAAAGGAAAAGAAAGGTTGGGAGATCTCATGAAAACAAGGGAGATCAGTAGAGTACAGGAAAGGGACGTGGCGGGGAGGTGGGGAGGAATGGGGAATACTGGGGAGTGATGCTGGCCAAATTATAGTGTGATACCGAGTGCACATGTGAATATGTTACATAGTGTAACACCATTATGTACAACTATAATGCACCAATAAAAAAAATATGGGGGAAAAAAGAACGTAGCCCCATATGTCCTTGAATGCCTCATTCATTCCTGGGGCCTGTTCCACATCCCAGCAGCTACCAGGGATGCAGAAATGAATGAGATTCCTTGTGCATTACAATAGAGAAGATAGACAAGCAGGATAATCGGGCAATAGCAGTTTGCAAACAGACACCCACTCCAAAGTGCACACGGTCCCTGGGTTGAAATGGGAAGAGGCCCCTCAAGAGCTGCAGGGCTCTGGTCACACAGAGAGGGCAGCACTGCAGGTAGGAAGCCTGGCATTGGGTTAGACACATGCAGAAGCTTCCCCCAGCAGCTTTGTGGAGGGGACAGAGAGTTGAGGGAGTTAAGATGTAAAATAAGGAAAATGTCGAAAAAAGAAAAAGAAGAAGAGGAGGAAGAAGAAGATACTGGAAATAATGTGGGTGGCCTGCCCCCAAGAGCACAGAACTTCAGCAATGGCAACTAAAAAGAAAAGGAAGCAGTGAATGGGAAATACTTAGCAGATGGACTCCAAGGAAAGGTCACCAGGGCCACACAGACCTACTCCCGCTCTCAGCCCTGCCGTGTGGTAGCTGTGGGACCTACAGACTGCTTGATGTTGCTGAGCCTTGGTTTCTTCATCTGTAAGGTGGGCCCAACTCTATAGAGTGTTTCAAGACTGAAAAGCAACGAGGGTAAAGAGGTTAAGCCCGCACGTGGCAGGCAGCCATAAACTTAGCCCCACTGAAGGAAATGGTAACTTGTGCCTTAAACTGAGTCGAGTTGAAGGTGAACATTAGGAGCGAGGGAATGAGTGGAGTGGAGGGGCTCCATGCACAGGGTCTCCCGTGTGCAGCCCAGCCCAAGCCGGGTGGAACAGAAGACCACATCTGTGCACCTCGAACCCCAGGCCCCCAAGGAAGGACAGCTTCCTGCTCAGTCCCCGATTTCAGAAATCAGTTTGTCTGCGCAATTTTTTTTTCACAGTCACCAGTAACTCAGAGAACCCCAAATACTAAATCCCGCTCTGTTCCTTTATGCCAAACCCACTGCGGATGATGGAGTTCAGGCTGGAGAGACTGGAGGAGCACACCTCCCGGCTCCACCCCCCACCAGGATGCACCCCCCAAACTCATTCCAGCCACCGCACACCAGACCATTTCCCCTGCAGCATTCAGGGGAGAAGGTGAGGTCCCAGGAAGCCAAGGCCAGCAGCACTTGCACTGCAAGAGCCACCAGCCAGCCCACTGTCAGCTGGAAATTTGTCACCGCCCAGAGAGGCAACGGGCAAAGTTGTTTCCGTTCGCCAGGTATTAGCTACGTCACTTGTTTCCTATTTCGGCATGTTATAAAAATTTCCCCAGGCGAGAGGCTGAAGCCTCTGTTGTGAAATCTGGTTAACACGAGGCGCCGGGTGGTTTTCTGTTTTCATGACATCACTCGGGTTAGTCTCTGTGTGTGTCAGAAAAGTAAAGCCCCAGGAAGCTGGCAGCTCTGCTGGGGTCCCAAAGAAATGGGGGACAGAGGGCAGAGGAAGGACAGGGGAACAGAAATCCCAGGAGAGGAGACAGACCACCCCAGGACCAGGCGCTCAGCAGGGATCCCTCAAGGAAGAAACTTCCTTTGCTTCCTGTTTCTAGACGTGGCCACTCTATGCTTATCTGACAGATGCAGACCTGTGATCTCAGTCCGGTTTATAACATCCTAATGAAACTATTCAAATATTTTACCCACTCCCCCAGAGGTTCCATATCGGCTGGATGTTCTCATTTGCTTTAAATCTGCAGGTGGCTGGAGGAATTGGGCCAGAGGTCAGAGCGATTCCCCCAAGCACCATTGTGCCCAGCCTGGTCTCAGACTTGTGATCCTCCTGCCTCAGCCTCCTGAGCAGCTGAGATTACAGGTGGCAACACCACAGCCAGATCCCCTCAGGAGCTTAAAGACTGCTACTGTAGGCTAGACAGTGAGGCAGCTCTGAAGGTAGAACAGGTGGACCGAACCATAAAGTTCAAAATGAGAACTATATTAAAAAAAAGGGGGGAGGGGTTTACAATAAAGCACAGCAAAGTGAGTATTGTTGGACCCACTTCCAGGAACAGCTAATATGTGCTTGTCGTGTCCATGTTAAGAATTCCTCTGAGAATTTTAATCTAAGGAAATACTTTTCAGACTTTTTTTACACCATAGCACACACAGTGGAGGGTAACATTCAGGTCATGTGTTGAGGTAAACCCAGGCAGCTCAGGCCACTGGCCCACCCAAGGTCCTGCTCAGAGCTGAGAGGATCAATAGCGTGGCTTTGCCCTAACTCCTTTGTGGAACGTGCTGGAAGCTCCTGCTCACTCATTTACCCTGCAGAAGTCTTCCCCAAAGGTTGTAAAGTTATCTATAG